GCACTGACTAATTTACAGGTTGACATTTGGTCGAGGAGGGGGAGTCGCATGAACGAAGATGGTCATCTGGTTACGTAGGGGTAACCTCGGCTATGCAGGATTGCTCATGCTTGTAAGATGAATCTGTCTGGAAGAAAGTCCTTATGACCGTGAGTCTTGAGGATGGTTTCACCTAGATTATGAATGAAGGTAACCATTCATTTATTGACCGAAATATAACTTTTGAACAGTACTTTCCTAAATGTTCCAGATACAAAATCATTTTAGTTCAGCTTCTCAAAATGGGTGTAATTGATTACTTTTCTATACCTAGTCACCGCTTGGATCATCTGGACCAAGTGATCAGCGACAAATTACTCCGGGCCAACATTTTGTCTTCTAATAATGCATTAAGTCCTGCCACCCGGTGACAGGGCTGACAGTATTTTAGAGAATTTCGTACAGACGTGTCCCCCAGTTCTATCCGGATTTTATCGAAGTTCTCTAGCCTTTGATGAACCGAAATCTAGCCCCAAGGCAGCAGTGACATTAGCGGTCTGTTTTCTTCAAGGAGGATGGTAGCCTTCGCTTCCTTATGGGACTGTCCTAAACATCGCGAATTTTTCTGAGGAACGAACTTGTCCGGCTCGAACTCAGCCTTGCACTGGCGGTCTCATAGCCAATGCACTGTAGTCTGCCAGAAGGTTACATTTCGTTTGGTTCTGTTCCCATGAAATACTGCTTTCGCTAACAAGTGCTGGAGTAAGTGAACTTACGCAGACTCCAAGATACCCGATTCGATAGAATCATCACATGTGGATCATTCGTGATCCAGACAGAAATCATGACAGCTTTGCTGGAAACCTTCCAACACTATTTGTGACGTTTCAAAAGGCTAGACATCAGGACCGAGAGGATTGTTTTTGTATGGTGATCTTTATTGCTGTGCTTTGGAAAGACACTCACCTAAGCGCTACTCTACTTCAACGTCGCAGCTTCAATCTCTTGCCAGTGCAGAGTCCACTATTTGAAATTTTCGACATCCTCGATGGCTATTTATCGCATCCGGTGCTCGGGTGGTATTGTTTTGTTAGGGTTAATTTATAAACCTAACTTCCAGGCCTATCGTCGAGGACACGTTGCACAAATTTTTTATTGGCACCAGCAAGCCGTTGGCGGATCCCGCGACAGTTGACGCAATCAGAACGATTTCCATGT